CGGTCCTACCACTTAGCGTTTTAAAGAAGGGCCAGTAAAGCTTACAAAGGGTATTAAAGCGTAGGCTACGTTAGCTCTCTAGCTATAGCGGGAATTTGGTTAGGCTATTATAGGGGCACGCCATACTAGATATAATAATTATCGCAGTTATATATAAATCACTAGTATTATTAATTCCACCTAGGTTAAAGAGATAAAGTACAAAGAATATAAATTAAGTGAGAAGGCCGATTAAGAAAAGATGAAGCGGAAGTGGAAGAAGGTATTAATCGAAATTAGGAAGTATAGAAGAGCTAAAAAAGGCCGGCGGGATTAAATTGTTTTTATATTATAGTAGTAAAATGGCTAATTGATTTATCTATTATTTTTAATTAATTAAATTGCTATGTTGTAAGGTAGTAAATGGTGGTTGAAGTATATAATATATAAAAAATGTGCTAATTGGGTGATCCGTACTATATATGTATGGGTGGCGGACCTTCGTTTGCGAGGGTCTGTAATTTTGGTAAAAAATGTAAGGGTCGGTTAATTGATAATAGCGGCCAGCGGCGGACATACCCGAAGTCGCTAGTCGATTTGTGTTACTAGTCCAAATGCTGGGTCCGTAGCCTTTCTCACCTGTTTTTATAGGTTTCTCCTCATTCTCAGTTTGTTATGTAGACGGCAGAAAAAGGCGGGGAAGGGCTTAATTTGTGAAATGGACTTTTCTATATATAACCTTTGATTTATTTGACATAACTATTAACGTAGCAGATTAAAGAATAGAGTAACACGTTCATAATCAACATCTGACCCAGGGGGGCCAGATTTTGGGACTCCTCTAGCCGGCCCAGCAATAGCTTCCAAATCAACCTTTGTCATGCCAGGGTGCAGATGAATATCATATGAAAGTGTAGTTGCATCACCAGATGAGTGAAGATGCTGCATACCCATGAGCGTAACAATTTTTACTTGTCGCTGGGAAGTACTAGCCGCTAAACGAGGCCTGACCGTTAGTATATTATGCGACGGAGGAAGATGGACTGTGATATTCTGTTGCGAAACAAGTGACGAAGGCGGGACATCTAGGCAGAAGTCCGGTTCCAACGACAAAGAGGCATGTGTAAGAATTCGAACATTGCGAATCAAAGCCATCCTTGGGTCTGGTTTTTAGTTAGCTGGAAGTCCTGTAATTCTCAACGGGAGTCAAACCTTGGCCTGATCGCCTCAGAAGCGAATCTATAGGCGATGAACCAAAATGCGGCTGGTAGGGAGCATGGGCTAACAAGGGGTCAGCAAAGGCCGGAAGCCGATCAACTCTCTCGCCAGGCGACAAAATGTCTACTAAGCCTAACGTACCTGAAGCCGAAGATGAATGTCGAGTGACATCCGAAGAGACATCAAACGACGCATTGGGGGGATTTTGCGAAGTGGACATTGCCAGAGTGGTTGCGTTGGTCACCGAGCTCAGTAAGCCTTGCGCACTCATGGAACTGTTATGTTGTTCCTCTGAGCCAGATGGTGTGTTTGTGGTGCTCGACCTGGGACTGTCAAGTTGCCCCCTAAGAGACCTTCCTCGAGGAGATCTACTGATTTCTTCACTTGATAATCCAGCCCCGGCAATATTTTGCTTATGGCCTTGGAATTCGTTATTGAATGTGACATCGGAGGGTTGTCCATCGTTTTTGGATAGTGTATCGGAGCTCTGCCCAGGCATTTTCAAGGTTAACCTCTGCGCTATTGGAGGCACAGCAGTGCCCACTTTCAATTTCACGCGAGACATCTCGGGGGTTGCATCTACCTCAAGGGGATTCGGAACAAGCTTTTTGGCTTCGGCAACCCGTCGGTGGAAGTGATCCTAGGCTCCAATGTCAGCATGCCGAAGGGGACAGGTGGCAAGACCGTCGCGGTATAAGCCTACCTCCAAAACTCCCGCGAGAATAGCGATATCGCTGCCGTCTTCGTTATACTCTCTAGCATTTCGCCATACATAGCTGACCTCCTCTTCAAAGGACTGCCATGTAGGATATGCGGTGGTTTTGGATAAATTCTTCCTACTGTCTGTACCACGAACTCTCTTTTGAATGCTTCGTAAGGACACGGGATGTTGAATGATCTCATAATAATCCCGGTACAGATTCCGGTCTGGTTTCCCAATAAACGGGTAAGAAACCTCCTGGCCACTAGTTCGGGGCATCAGCCTTAAGAAAAGGATCGGGATCAGTGATACCTACTCAGAATCCTTGAGCCGGGTCAACTCCGACATAATCTTGTCCTGTGCAGTCTGGAGACTATCACCTTGAAAATCTGCCTCGGACTCGGCCTGCGACTCCGCGGTTCGATCTGCTTCCCCTGGTGGCTCTGAGTCTAGATGCGACGACGCACGATTGGACTCTTCGGGAATAATGAGATCATCGTCCTATCACACGCACCGCAGCTTGAATTAGCGATTGAAACATGTGATTCGATCTATATGCGCAAAGCAAAGCAACGACATAGGACAGTAATTAGACATGAACAGTGTAGGTCGAACTGCGAGTGGCCTCCATTCGAGTGTCAAGGGCCAATCGATATCCATGGATGTATTAATGTAATAAATTGATACTTACGGAAACCTTTCGGCGTTTCGTTCTACGAAACTTCATATCTGGGGAAGCTGCGGCAGCCGCCCGTCGTTTTGAGGTCATCTCGGATTAGTTCTGATAACGTCCCAAATCGCGAGTCAAGTCACACATTGAAGATAGTAATTTGTGACTGAAGAACAGGGGGACTGGAAATACAGATTTAATAAACAAAGGGTCAAATTGATTGAAAGAATTACAAGTAGTGATAGAGTATGGCAAAGGGAGATATCCGCATAGACATTCCTCGTCTCAGACGTGTTGCAGACGCGTCCACCCGTGGACGGAGTCATCCCGCCTTAGGTAAGACTGGTGGGTCTACGGGTATTATATAATACAGAATGGAACCATAATGACAGGTATCAACTACTAGTAAATGTTTGTACGGAGTCCGCATGTATTCCGTACATGTCATGTCAAAACAACATTGAAGTGCAAATACAGCATACCGGCTTTTACCACAATGTAACTTTGGTACCAATTTCGTACTGTATTCATCTAGTACTCTGTATGTATTAACCACGATCACGTGATAAAATCAGCGGCGATTGGATTGACACCTGAGGCACCCATTGGTTGTTTCCCTCCCCCACTATTTTCCCGAGTCCCGCAAAACAAGTCCGGTGATTGTTGTTTCGACAACTCACACCTACTATTTTCTCTATCGCGTCACACTCTTATTCTCACCTGAACCTCATCCCCGGTACCTTTGATTTCTCGATATCAGATCATCTTATACAACCTTAGGGCCCCTACAAGAGCCCTGCGAGCGTACGTTTGCAGTTGTCGCTACATGCGATAATCATTCAGCCACATTGTGAGTCGCATCCTCAAGCTACTTATCTACTGGCCTTGTTGCTTGAACACACGGAACAGACTGATATTGATAATCTGTATAGCCGACAGATCTTCATACTGCCATTCCTTCCCATTCCACTATCCCAATGGACATCGACCCAGCTAGGCGCAACAAAAAGCCCCGTCTCCTCTTGGAGACGGAGCGCGAGAAGCTTGATGAATTTGTGGACTCTATTCACTACTCGGCAAGGTGAGGACCCCATACCAGTGCGGTAGACTCTCCATTGACTCCTCCATATAGATACAACGATGACAAATTCGAGTACCGCCATGTGCAGCTCCCAAAGAATATGCTCAAAAAAATTCCCACGGACTACTTTGACAGCTCTAAGGGGACTCTGAAATTGCTTTGGGAGGAGGAATGGCGAGCCCTGGGTATTACACAAGTATGTTGAACATAACTTGAAGATGTGCATGGGTTCTAACAACGTGCGCGCAGAGCTTGGGATGGGAGCATTATGAGGTGCATGAACCTGAACCTCACATCTTATTGTTCAAGTCAGTTATTTGCGAACTACTCCCTAACTACTCCCTTGGATGTATCACTAACCGTCGTGTAGGCGCCCTCTTAACTACCAACCCCCTCTGCAACAATAGGTTAGCCATTGATTGGCGGCGTTGTGCTTGGAAAATATGAGCAGTTGAGAAGACATCCCTTTATTTTCGTTCATGGCAGGCACACGCGTTCGCAATATTGCTCATTAGCGTCCACAAAAGCTTCATAATTGAAGTTCTGGAATGAGACCAAGTTTCATTTTCTCCTTGCCCGCCATTTTCATTGACACGCTAGACCAGGCTCTCTCTCTATCTGTTATACCATATGGAAGACCAATGTCTGTCTTATCACAGACACCTGGACTGTTCTAGCGTGACCCTTAAATCGCGTTTTTTGGCCAGTCATTCTCCCTACTAGACAGTGGTGAGGCTGCTAATTATGTCGAGTTTCCCCACTCCCCTAACTTGATGTGAGAATCTTGAAATATCATCCCAGTCAAGTCATCCTACATTGAAGAATGCTGTGGGCGAGACATGGACCTCTGCTTGGTCCCTCTAGTCAATCTAAAGGGAAAACAAACCAAGTATCTACAAAGGGGATGGACAGATAGCTGAATACCTGGACCATCCACTTGATGTCGTTAGTCATTTGGTTTCCAGCTTTAGTTGCCTCCCTAGGTATTTCGCTTATGGTTAGCAAATCAAGTAACTTCTTCCAAGGCTCTCTCATTCATTCCCACGCTGCCTGCAACTTTTGCTAGTTGGCCGCATGGCATTTTTGGCTGCGCATCTAATTTATCACACTCGAAGAACATGGTGTATTGTACTAGGTAGTGACTGAAAAGAGGATCTCTTGAGCTGATTAAGTATAATACAGGGTACTATAGGTACTACAACGTCTCAGCACTAATATAGAATATATATGCATATTGTAAATAACTTCTTGAAAAGGCCATTTAAGCCCGGGTTCGGTCGTCTTTGTTTGCATCGAAGAGGCGGGCCTCCTAGTACTTTAGATATCCACATCTGGGCGAGACACGGGCACAGTATGTTAATAACCCTTATAGCCATGGCTGCTTATGCATATTGAATTTGTGGTGATTCCTTAAATCACTGCGGAAAACATGTATGTACATGATATTCATACAGAGGGCAAGGTGAATATTGAGCTCAACACACATTCCGTGAACCTGAAGGGAGACATATATGGCTTGGCCCTTGAGATGAAAACCCCTTAAAATCCCAGGGTATATGTGATCAACTTCCTAATGCCTTCTGTCTCCTCATGTTCAGATCCTTCAGCGTCATTTCCACTGTTCGCCATTCACGCTTGGCTGGATCATACTCGCCTTTCACCTCAAATCGACAAAACCCATTAGGTCCCTTCAACCCAACTGGGCCCGCGATAAAGAAGGCTCCGCGGCGAGCAGACCCTGGTATTTGGGCCCGTTCGTGGTTCAATCGTAATTTGAATGCCTGTGATGCCAAGTGCAGATCCGACCCCGGGCCGAGGTCTGGTAACGGTAGCCGCTGTAATAAAGATATAAGGGAGGATGGGTGATAGTTGGAATTCTCAGTATTAGGGGGCATATTTTCCTTGAGCCCGTCGGTCAGGGGTGGTTGTAGCTTAGATTGATCATTTTGTCCAACCCAGTTCCCTCTCTTGTCACCAGGCCAGGCAGAAGAATCATTTAACAAATCAAAGGCATCCAGCGGCTCCCCTGCGGGTTTCCTGAAACGATCCAGTTGCCTTAGTAATAGTACCAGATACGCATCTCTGATTGCTAGAGCAACATGAACTGGTTTCATGAAGTTCTGTAACCTGTCACCTATCTCGGGGTCCATCGGCTTTGCAACCCACGATATACTGTTGTTTTTAATCTCCACCCTGCCTACTGTCAGTATAAGACAAGCTCTTTAGATATTAGCAGTACATACCCCGATCGCACATATCCAGGAGGGGCACGGTTTGGAAACTGATGGACAAGCCAGAATCCTGTGAGGGAGAGAGGCTCCCCGAGTATCTGTGACATCTGCCTCCCCGCATTATCTAAAACGATTGTGGCGAGTTCATCTAAACTCGTAAGCGAACGATCTTGAGCGGGGATTGAATCGATTTCTCACCCCTAAGCTTCTGAAGCTTCTTCCGATCCTTGGATAACTTCACAAATTCTTGCCACTCTGGATCTGATGTAGTGTATAGCTCGCCTTGTTGCAAACGGGACCAGGCAAGCGGTATGAACAGCACTCCCTCGTTTTCGACCTCTTTCCCGGTGATTTCGCCGCTTCCCAAGGAGGTTTGACGCGGGGCTGTCTCCTCTAGGTTGGCCACGGGAGGTAGATCAGCATCGTCGGTATCGTCATCAAATCGTATCAGCACGAAGGTGCTCCAGAGGTGGAATGCGGTGCCGTACAGGAGACCTTTTGATATGAACGACCTGTGAGATTCTACGTCAGTCTGACCAAAGAGCCCTTGATTTGGCTTCAAAGGGGGCTCCTTACCTAATCCAAGGCCGTCTAAACCTCACATGTCGCACATTTTGCGGTTTCGAGAAGTTGGAACGAGCGTGTGTAGAACTGAAAAGAGACGAGCGTGCGTGAGGACTTCGAAGCAGATACCTGAGCCAGAGCATTGGGAAAAGCCAATCCCTGCAATGATTCTCACTAGAGTATCATCTCAATTTGAAAAAAAAAAAAGGAATGGACAGAATACTTGAAGCCTGATATGCACGAGGATTTGTGTTGCGAGTTTGTCAACGGCGAAGGGCTCGGCGGTTTGGTGGATTATGTAACATTGCGGTGTTGCAGCATCGGCGGCCTACCATACACGTAACTACTACATACATATAGGTACATATGATGATCTCCCAGAATGAATAGTATTACTACCAGAGCAAACTCTTGGGCTAGAAATTGATGACATTGGACATTGCATGTACCGGTAATATTTGGTTGAGCACACAAGGTACGAACGTACATACTAATACTAAATACTAGACCACGTGATAGCTTAGTGATATCTTATCGGATGCCCCCAAGTCGTCCGTAGCCAAATGGTATTCTGTCCTTGACTCCTCGCTGTTGTATCCAACAAAACTCCAGATACCGCCAGAGGAGAATCTTGATGTGGGCATCGTCACGTCTGCCAAAATAGTCTTGCTTTACCTCCGGCCCTCCCGATTCTAGCAATATGCGCTGGGTATCCGCCTTCCTTGCCCTGGCATTAACAGGTGCATTGCAAGCAAATGCACTGGATGCTACAATCTTCACGTTTCCTCCCAAGACTGCAACCTCCCCAACTGCTAATACCCAACAACAAACAATATCAGAAGCTGAGGCCCGGCTTGTCTTGGAGCTTCGCATGAAGTCCTCTGTAGCATCGGTCCTCGGAATGGTGGATGCAGACACTGTGAACCGCTTGAATCATTTTGCTCGGGATGATCTCACTCTGTTTGGGGGAGCTACTGAGGGGATTGCTCTTAAGAAAAGCATATTTATTCTGGAAGGGATCGACCAGGAAGTTGGTAAGTGGAAGCGGACTCACTTGTCTGGAAACTTTAGCTAATGTCCCTGCAGCCCTAGTCATGCAAAAAGCCCAACCAAACCATCTTCATATTCCTCAAATTTCCTCTCCCTTTATTGGATTTGATCTCCTGGAATCATTTATCCAAAGCAGCCCCACTCCGAAAGGGGACCGTGGACAAATCTGTACATACCACAACGATGCTATCAGGGCTGCATCATCGACATCCCAGGTAGCAAAGCCATCTCTAACGATTTTCAGGTTCCCTCGCTAATCTTTAAATTATACCAGACTCCTAAGGAATGCCTATCTAGGGACCCCATGTTTGCTGATGGGTCTGATATGCTTGCCCGTGACTTCCTTACACTAGTTGATTCGGTGGAATCCTGGATAAGCAAGGATCACAAGGACTCAGCTTTGAAGTTGTCCTTTAAGGTATCGAGTTTCCCCTACCTGACTAGTGAATGATTTGAATGATTTCTGATTCCACGTCACCAATTGCAGAATGCCTCTGGTGATTCTCTTCTTGGAACCAAGCGCCTAGAGACATTGCTTCTTCACCTAGCTAAAATATCGTCGACCAGCAACCGGGAAATCACGACCGTGGTTCTACCCGCTGGTGTTAACTCAGAAGGACTCATCCGCCGAGGCGCGAAGCAATCATCGGCACCAGTCACCCAACATAATGCCTTCAGGAGGTCGATGCAGAATTCTGCGCTGCAGTCAACCCTAGCGCCTGTCTGTCATTCTTCAAACTCCTCGTGTGCTGAATCTACCAATGACTGCTCCGGACACGGTTCTTGCTATCTGAAATACGGCTCGGGTGTTGAGGGAACTACGGGCAATTGTTATGCATGCCAATGCAAGCAAAGTGTTGTTCGGAATAGCGATGGCACCACCAAGACAGTTCAGTGGGGTGGGCCGGCTTGCCAGAAAAGAGACATCAGCTCACCTTTCTTCCTCGTTGCGGGCGTCAGTCTGCTTGCCATCGTTCTGGTTGGTAGTGCGATTGGAATGATTTTCAGTATGGGCTCACAGGAGTTACCCAGTGTCATTAGTGCTGGTGTAGGAGGTCCCAAGTCTCAGATGTGAGCATATGGAAAGCTGTATAGGTGTTAGGGTGTGTTTTTCTTTTATTTTTTCCCCTTTTGCCGTCTTTTTAGGGGGCAGGGCTTCATGTTCTTTACCTCATTTATCCCTCAACATCTAAGCAAATTTTGCTTTACTTCGTTTCTGATTACTCCCTACACTGCATCAAGGGCAAACTTCTGGTTTAATGCAGCAGTACATACATGTAAGGTGGCGCAAACTATTTTAGGGGGCACTCGACTATATCAAAAGAATATATTGTATGGCATGTACAAAACAGTACTATGTATGTACTATGGTGTTGCGCACTAAGAGATATATAGATATTCAACCAATACACAACCCATTCAGCCCGCTAAATGGACCAAGAATCGGCTGAGAAACACTGTGTCTGCCAGTACCACCATAGGACAAACTTCCTCATGGCATAAAATAAGGTAAAAGGGAGACAAAAGACAATTCGTGAATCACCAGCTGAAAGAATGAAGGTTCCCCATGATTCACATGCGCCCCAGTCCAAGTTGCGCAGAAATCGATAAATTACACATATCAAGTCATAATAAACAAGGAAAAACTCCAGCCAACATTCCAGATGTGGTCACGGCATGAAAGTGATTTTGAAGATTAGTCAAATCGTGAAGGGGTATGAAAAAGGATAGTCAAAGATGTATCATGTGGTACCAGCTTCGACTTGACGAGGTGTGCGTCCTTCCGAAGGCAGCGGATCCACAGGCGAAGTCCCAACTGCAGGTGGTGGTCTTCTTGACGAGGGCAAATGGAAGGAAATCTGGCGGAGTCGAGTGGGAATGAATCGAGACCACGTGGACTGACCCGAAGAACCCGAGGCATGGACTGGGTCCCAAAGCTGGTCATGCCCACTCCGCACATCCTGTTCTCGAGTTGGCGATATGTCTCTTTCCTCTGGAGATGTCGATTGAAATATTCGGCTAGGCAATCCCATCTGGACCCGGAATCCATTTGCCCTGCCACCGTTCCAAGCAACTCGAGGAGGTCTGAGAATTGCATCCGGGTGGGTCGAGGCTGTACGACGGCCCTGGCGATCTGTGACAGACTGTGCTTCAGTCTGGGCACGGGGTTTGGGGATATAGTAATCGGCCTTGCACAGAGGGCAACATGCCCTTCTGCTAGTCAGCCAGGGGTCGACACATGAGGCATGGAAAGCATGTCCACATGCAAGTCCCCGGATATCATCATCGTCCTCGATGATGTCTAGGCAAATCGCGCAAGAATCGCCAGGGTTGGGCAGAAGATCAGCAGGAACAGCATTACGAATGTAGGCACCATCATCATGGTCCTCAAGATCAATGTTCATGTTTTCATTGGTCAAAGAATGCTGCCATTTCTCTTTCTGGATACCTGCACCAGTGGATTGCTGAGTAGAAGGCATCCCAGATACTGTAGGGCCCTTCTCCTCCGAAGTCTGCACTGGAGGGTCATCTTGTAGGTCTTGAATGGGAGTTTGTGATGTATCATTGGAATCCACCCGTCCATGGCTCTTGGTGGGGGGTAAATTTGCAGCCGTGTGAACCCCAACCGCTGTCGCCATGATATCACTTTCATCTTTTAGGCTCTGTGGTCTGCTATTCGGAGCTGTGATACCTCCTTCTGTTGAAAGACCCTGGTTGGCCCGAGATGATCTCCACACTTTGTACTTGACAAGTGGAAACCGCCCGTTGACTTCATCCATCGTCATTAGCCTTTTCTCCCTTCTCCTGCGATGAGCTCGTGGCATGGTGACCAAGTCTATGGGCTCTCCTACTTCCTCACTGCGGAGCTGACGGTTGCGTTGGTTATATCGAAAGCAGTATTTGACTCCAACAATGATCCTGCGATGACCGTCAGATGCCATACCTGAAATGCTGGAAGGCTGGCCTGGACAGAGGGCATATGAAGCGACATACCATAGATTTGTGAACACAACACCAAACCCAAGAGCGACGAAGAATAATAAAGGTGAGCTTGTAGCATTATTCGAACCCGAACCCGAACCCTCTCCGCCGCTACTAGCAGTAGTGGTGGCAGCACTGCTAGAGGCTGATGTTGGTGTTGAAGACATTCCGACTAGAAATGTGATATGAAAATGACCGCACTGATCCCACTCGGAACGCGGTCACTCGATTATTGTTGGAGTCTCAGTTGCCCCAAGGTCGATCCTTCATGCCTTGAGTTGTGTGTACAGGGCAACCCTGTATGTAAATTTCGGGCTAGACTCCAGCAGATTAAGTCCGAGGCGAGCAGAAGGTGGATAGAAACGATCCAGGAGTATTTACCCCATGCGATAGACTCAATATTTGGAGATTAAACTTGATGGCCTGTCATGGATGATCAACCGTAAGCAGAACACACAGAACTTCCTGCGAAGAGAAGGTGAATGCCGAGGGTCGATCTCATATCATTATCAGTAGCAAGACCAGAAGAAACCTGGGCAGAGGTGAAGAGAGATAGAGGGACAGAGAGAAAAAGAGAAAGGAAGATAGAGAGATAGAGAGATGGAGAGAGAGTGGATCAGGGCAGGATGGAGGCCAGGCTCCTGGTTGATTTAAGGATGCATGCGGAGTCTGACGCCTGAGGTTATGAATCACGGGACTTCGTACTGTTAAAGTCTCGGATACCTCTGATTGACAGGGGTTTAGAACTGAATCAGAGGTGTAAGGTACTTCTGAATACATGCACAGGGGATGAGAGCAGGGCTATTTACCTGCCTCCTTTTTTCCCCCTCTCTTCTTTTTCTTTTATTTATTTGTAAATAAATTGTTGGGTATTGCATATTTTTACTGCTTAGCCACCTTTAACGGACATAAAATGGCCGGCGACTATCTGGTACTGTAAATACAGCTGGTTTAGGTACTACATATGTATGTATACGTATGATATGTAATATTTAGTAACCCCACCAATTTATAAACAAATAGCCTCAAGTGCATTGTAATTGATGAAATCTATATCAATTCATCGGTTTTTAAAGATGCTTAGAATTCTTATAATTTTAAACCAAATTGTACCTAGGTAAGAAATGTTGATATAGTAAGGTAGTTCTGTAGTATATAGTCCTCCATCTAAAAAGCCCAATTACCTTACTTCCTACTAGTTCTAAAGTGAAAGAAGAAAGACCTACTACAATATATAATCATATATATCCTAGAAAAGGTGGTCAATATAAAGTCTCACATGGCCGCTACACCGCTCCGTAATTCCCGAAACCCCTGGTTCACCTGCGAGGGACATCAGAGATCTATCTAAATGCAAACTTCCTTCTCCACATCTGCACTCCCCGCCCCCCAAGTCTCACTATGGACGAACCTAATCCAGTGGTATTCTTTGATATTGCCCTTGGAGGTAAGTCGGTTTCGCTATTTGCATATCAGCTCTGGTGGCATAGACACCTGAGTAACCTGACGACATGGCGAACTCTGCTAAGTAATATAATCCCATACAGGCGAATCTCTAGGTCGAGTGAAAATGGAGTTGTTTGCCAATGTCACCCCACGAACCGCAGAGAATTTCCGCCAATTCTGCACCGGCGAGAGCAAGAACCCCAAGGGACAGCCCCAGGGCTACAAGGGGAGCAAATTCCATCGAGTGGCATGTGATAAAGCTCCTTAGATATCGATGTGAAACTAATGCTCGCTGCAGATCAAAGATTTCATGATCCAGGGTGGAGATTTCATCAATGGCGATGGGACTGGGTCATGTACCATCTACGGCACCTCGAAATTTGCCGATGAAAATTTCACCCTCACACATGACCGTCCCGGTTTATTAAGTATGGCTGTAAGTCTGAACACCTCGAGACTTGGGGGGGCTTGTCTACCTAGAAAGGACTTTTCACTAACAGCAACAGAATTCGGGCCCAAACACCAATGGTTGCCAATTCTTTATAACAACTACGGCCACACCATTCTTGAACAACAAGCATGTGGTCTTCGGCCGGGTGATTGATGGGATGGATATCGTTAAGATGCTTGAACACACCCGTACCACTAAAGACAAGCCCAACCAAGATGTAACGATTGTACAATGTGGAGAGATGTAATAACAACTACACAAATGGGCTGATATCCAGGAAACAGCCATGTCCTACAAATCCATAGCTCCAAACAATGCAGGAAAAGACTTTGAATCATGGAGATATATCAATTTCATATGGCTTTAGTAACCAGGAACTTTTTTGATACTTCATAGTGATCGGCACAGACGTGATACCTCCGAACCAAAAAAAAAGTGTTCACAGAATCCTGTCCTCAGGTTTAGAGCTTGAACTTATTCAGATAATCCGCAGCCAGTGAGATAGCCTCCTCGACCTTGTCAGCGTTGGTACCGTTACCAATGGAAGTAGGCCCCTTTCCTCCTGCTTTTCCTCCCACGGTGCCAGAGACGACGGCTGCCCAGTCACTTGCCGAAGCACCTTGGTCACTCAGTTCCTATGTCCAAATCAGTATAAGAATCCATAAGTAGTAATATTTCACCATCTGTTTTCCCCAAATCCATGAAGGGTAAGACTGATATGTCCTGTTACTCACCTGAGAAATGTAACATCCGTGTGAAACCCGACCTTGTTCAGAGTCGGCCGCCAAAAGATAGACACTCTTGCCCTGCATCTTAGACTTGACATGGTTGAGAGATTCACTGACAGCCTTGGCATTGGCAGAAATCGGAAGCTGGACCACAAGCCACGACTTGTCTTTATTTTCAGGAGCCTCGAAATAGGAGGTGATAGTGTCGACCGCTTTCTTCGATTCCAGTTTTTGTTGGGCTTTTTGGCCATCGAGGACCTGCTTATTGATCTTGGCAAAACGTTCGCGGAACTTGGCCTTTTGGACGGCGGAGATTGCAAGCTGGTTGAGATCCACCTGGACTTGCTTAGCCTCCTGCTCCTTTTTGGAACCCAGAGGCAATGCGTTGAGCCGATCAAGGCGCTGTCCGAATTCCTCGGCAACTCTCTGCACCTCATGTGCATCCTCACCAGTGACGGCAATAATTCGTCGAATTCCCTTGGCAATGCCATTCTCCTCCAGGATGATCAAATCCTTGATATCGCCTGTCTTCTGCACATGAGTTCCTCCGCAGAACTCAATGCTGACTTCTTGCCAACGGGGATCTTTGACATTCTTTAGGATTTCCTCTAATTCCACACCGACAGAGACAACACGAACAGGATCGGGGTAAGTCTCGCCGAATACGGCCCGAACACCGGAAATTTGCTGGGCAGTGGCGAGCGGAAGTTCTTGAGAGTAAACAGCACAGTTCTGTCGAATATAATCAGTTGCCTTGGCTTCGATCTTCTCGAGCTCGGCGTCAGAGATTGCGCTCTTGTGGGAGAAGTCAAATCGAAGCTTCTCGGCGGCCACCAGGGAACCCTTCTGATCAACACCATCGCCTAGGATTTCCTTCAGTGCAAAATTCAGGATATGTGTTCCGGTATGGTTATTCCGGATGGGCCAGCGTCGGAGTTCATCGTACTCGCAAATGACAGAATTTCCGACAGTGAATGATCCGTATTTCATGAAGCCGGTGTGTAGAACGTATCCGGCGTAAGACTGTACATCGCCAACTTCAAGCTCCGCTTGTCCGTCAATGATGATTTTCCCTGTATCATTTTCCTGACCACCCTGTTCGGCATAGAAGTTCGTGCAGTCGAGAATGACGCCAAGCTGTGCCCCCTCAGGAACATCGTCAGTGCTATTGTGGAAAGCTTTCCCGTGGTAGATAGCCTTGACGTGAGAAGTGATGTTACCTCGGCCAAATTTAGGCGAATCATCCGTTTTTTGTACGTCGTTCATTTTCTCCAGCTTGCCTAGGTCGTGGACATCAAGCTTAACTGTGTTCTCGGCAGCCTTCTTCTGACCCTTGCTGGCTTCCTTCGCCTTCAAGCGAGCCTCTTCAAACTCGACATCATCAATGCGGAGACCACGTTCCTCGGCCATGATTCGAGTCAGGTCAACAGGGAAGCCAAAGGTGTCGTACAGTCTCCAAACATCGGCACCATGGAGCATATCGGTGCCCTTAACTTTGGCCTGTTGGGCGTATTGCTCAAATTGCCGCTCACCTCTATCCAAGGTCTTGGCAAATGATAACTCTTCCTCGTCCAAGATTTCGATGACATCTTGCTGCTTGCGCTTGAGTTCAGGGAACATTTCACCCAATTGATCCACAACAGTCGGCACTAGCTTAGCGAAGAAATTCCCAATATCGACCTGGAAATATTTCCGGGCATACCGAGCTCCTCGGCGTAGGACACGGCGAATCACATAGCCACGGCCCTCGTTGTTGGGAATGACACCATCCGAGATAGCGAACATCAAAGTCCGCACGTGGTCTGCAACAACACGGTAGGCGGTGTCAATTCCATCGGCATCATCGGCGCCAAAGTGGCCGCGGTATTCCCGGGCCCCAGTGGTATTCTGGATAGCCTGGAAGATCGGAGTGAAGACATCGGTATCGTAGTTGGAAGGTTTGTCCTGGAGAATGGACACTAGTCTTTCGAAGCCCATTCCGGTGTCAACGTGTTTGTTGGGAAGGGATCTCAAGGAGCTATCCGACTCGCGGTTATATTGGATGAAGACGTTGTTCCAGATTTCCAGCACATTTGGGTCGTCTTCATTGACGAGATGAGCAGCGTTGCGCCCACCGATCCGATCATAGTGCACTTCACTGCAAGGTCCACATGGGCCTTGATCACCCATTTCCCAGAAGTTGTCTTTCATATCTCCAGGAAGAATGTGAGATTCAGGAACGCCCACCGATTTCCATAGCTCTTTGGCTTCCAGATCCGGTTCCAATCCACCCGCTTCATTACCTTCAAAGTAAGTAACGTAGAGGCGATCGGGATCTAGCCCGTAGACCTCCGTCAATAGGGTCCACGAATAAGTGATAGCTTCTTTCTTGAAGTAGTCGCCAAAACTCCAGTTGCCGAGCATCTCAAAGAAGGTCTAGAGACTTGGTCAGCACTTCTTCCGGTGAATGATAGCAAGCGGGTAGGGTTTAAACACTGACATGGTGATAACTATCCTTGCCAACATCATCCAGATCCTGTGTCAGGTCAGTCAGTGTACCAAAGCCCCTCTTCAGAGCCCTCTAGGGTTTTACAAGGCACACCCACGTTATGTTTTCCACCGGCACGGAGGCACTATTTAATTGTATCAGCAACAGTTCCAAGTCGGATATTTTGGTGATAGTGAAATATCCAATACCTTTTGCGAGTTCGTTGCGCGCTTCATCTTTCCAAAGTCCGACGAGGCGTCAACAGTGCCCAGGAAGATGGACTTGAACTGGTTCATTCCCGCATTGGTGAAAAGAAGAGTTGGATCCGATAGAGGAGCGACAGGGGAAGAAGGGACTGTATACAAGAATTACTTCAGGTCAGTCCATGTCGTTGGCGGGGGTGGAGGGGTAGGCGGGAAAAAAAAAAATGGGCTCAACGTACCGAATGTATGGCCATTTTGTTTAAAATAATCTAAAAATGTGTCTCGGACTCGCTGAGCAGTCCATTCCGAACCTAGAGAACTCATCCTGTCGAATGTGGGAGGTTTGGTTGACAGGGAGCGAACAAAACAAAGGGAGAATGTTCTGGGTTGATTTCTGCGAAAGAGATGAGTCAAAGCCCGTTCCCCGTTCGTCACCACCCCAGAAACCCGCATCGAGCAACGAAATGAACTTGACCCCGGATCTGTGCACTTAATTCAACCACTTCTTCCCCCCCCCCTTTTTTTTATATTATCACGCACTTCCAAATACTCGAGAGAGAGGGAGAGAGAGAGAGAGAGAGAGAGAGAGACAGATAGAAAGTGTGGATGGCGGGTGAGGAAGGTCACGGGAAGAAGCGCCCGGCCGAAGCTGACCCCGATGGCGCGCAACCGTTAACGAAGAGATTTGGACACCTACGAATAGGTAGGCAATTGAACTTGAAAAGTTGTGGAAGTTGTCAAGTTAACATATTTGTAGATAATAGCGTGCCAATCTCCGCTCGGGCCAAACCCAAGGGGCATATTCAGCATAACCAGCATCAACATGACTACATTGATCACCAACATACCCAACATAACCAAAAGCTTTCTTCCCCAAACGATGCAATGATCTTGGATGACACCAAGCATACGACTTACATTTACAACCTGGATCAAGAATTAATGGAAGCCGACTCTCCTGGTTTGGTGTTTTTACCATTCGCGGAGAAAGTCCTCTCAGTCCCTCAATCCGTTCTATCCGACTCGATACCCTCAGGGAAAGAACTTGTTCTTTATACGGAACCAGCTTCCCTCACGGTTCCCAAGGAAAAAGATAATGTTCGAAGGGCAATTCTTGAATCTCGAGCACGAGCTAGAGAGAACAAAGTTAGGGAAGATTTATATGATGATCCAATGGATATTGATAGTTGAAGTTCTGAAGTGCAATATGGGTAATAAGGATTAGCGAAGTGTATAATTGTATAATTGTGTACCTTTTGGGTATTCAAACGTATATAATGTGCATTTGATGTACATTGTAGTACTTTGCATTTAGTTAACTGACTATTAACTAACTATTTTGGGGACGTAGTACATATGTATTTAGTATGTAATATACACGGTATGAGTATTGAAGATAACCGGAACCACGTGACTCACCGCTCCCGAAAAATTTTCTGGTTTTTTGTGTGGCTCCGACTAAATATGCACTCGGCTTGATAAAAAAAAATTTCCTCTCTCCCCCACCATCCCTCTTCCCATCCCTCCCTCAAAATCACATCTAAAATTTCATAATGGCCGATTCTGAGGTTTACGACGGTGCCGTCGGCATCGATCTTGGTGTGTTTTTGCTCTACTAAATTCGATCGCACAGCTGCTAATTGCCTTTTTTTTGTTTTTCTATAGGCACTACCTACTCTTGCGTTGCCAACTACGAGGGCACTAATGTCGAGATCAGTACGCTTTCCCCAAAATTTCGATCTTTCTCTCAAATACTGACTATTTGATCAGTTGCCAACGACCAGGGTAGCTACACTACCCCCTCCTTCGTCTCTTTCACCGACAAGGAGCGTCTGATTGGTGATGCCGCCAAGAACCAGGCCGCCATGAACCCTGCCAACACTGTCTTCGATATCAAGTGAGTTGGAAAAAAAATAAAAAATCTTGCGCAGCCTATCAATTCGAGATATGCGCATTCTCCACAATTCCAAATTCGTTCTGACTCAAATGGAACAGGCGTCTGATCGGTCGCCGCTTCGAGGACCCCATCGTCAAGAAGGATGTCGAGTCCTGGCCCTTCAAGGTCATCGACCAGGGTGGCAACCCCGTTGTCCAGGTTGAGTACCTTAACGAGACCAAGATCTTCTCTCCCCAGGAGATCTCCTCCATGGTCCTCATGAAGGTATGGCAAAATATATACTTCATATTTGTGGGATTTGTTTGCTGACTGGTTGAGAACAGATGAAAGAGGTCGCTGAGATCAAGCTCGGCAAGAAGGTTGAGAAGGCTGTCATCACCGTGCCCGCCTACTTCAACGACAACCAGCGTCAGGCCACCAAGGATGCCGGTGCCATCGCTGGCCTGAACGTCCTCCGTATTATCAACGAGCCTACTGCTGCCGCTATCGCCTACGGTCTCGGCGCCGGCAAGTCTGAGAAGGAGCGCAACGTCCTCATCTACGATCTCGGTGGTGGTACCTTCGATGTGTCCCTGCTGAACATCCAGGGTGGTGTCTTCACTGTTAAGGCCACCGCTGGTGACACTCACCTTGGTGGTCAGGATTTCGATACTAACCTCCTTGAGCACTTCAAGAAGGAGTTCCAGCGCAAGACTGGCAAGGATCTCTCCGGTGATGCTCGTGCTCTCCGTCGTCTCCGCACTGCTTGCGAGCGTGCTAAGCGTACCCTGTCCAACGCTACCCAGACCACTGTCGAGATTGACTCTCTCTTCGACGGTGAGGACCTCAACTCCTCTATCACCCGTGCCCGTTTCGAGGACCTTAACGCCAAGGCTTTCTCTGGCACCCTCGACCCCGTCCAGCAGGTCCTCAAGGACTCTGGCATGCCTAAGAACAAGGTTGACGAGATCGTCCTCGTTGGTGGCTCCACCCGTATTCCTCGTATCCAGAAGCTCCTGAGCGACTTCTTCGATGGCAAGAAGCTCGAGAAGGTAAGACAAAACAGCACTACTTGATCTAACGTCAACACCAGTTACTTATCTTTTTCTTTCTATAGAGCATCAACCCCGATGAGGCTGTTGCCTACGGTGCTGCCGTTCAGGCCGGTATCCTCTCCGGCAAGGCCACCTCGGCCGAGACCGCCGACCTGCTCCTTCTTGACGTTGTTCCTCTTTCCCTTGGTGTTGCCATGGAGGGCAACATCTTCGCCCCCGTTGTCAACCGTGGCCAGACTGTCCCCACTATCAAGAAGCGCACCTTCACCACTGTTGTCGACAACCAGAGCACTGTTCAGTTCCCCGTCTACCAGGGTGAGCGTACCAACTGTGCTGACAACACCTCCCTGGGCGAGTTCACTCTTGCTCCCCTTCCTCCCATGCGTGCCGGTGAGGCCGCTCTCGAGTGTGTCTTCGAGGTTGACGTCAACGGTATCCTGAAGGTCACCGCCACTGAGAAGACCTCTGGCCGCACTGCCAACATCACCATCTCCAACGCTGTCGGCAAGCTTTCCAGCTCCGAGATCGACCAGATGGTTGACGGTATGTTTCTCCTGCTGACTGTAATCTTTTGACTATATACTGACTCAACAATTTGTAGATGCTGCCAAGTTCAAGACTAGCGATGAGGCTTTCACCAAGCGCTTCGAGTCTCGCCAGCAGCTCGAGTCTTACATCTCCCGTGTTGAGGAGATTGTCTCCGACCCTGGCATGTCCATGAAGCTCAAGCGCGGCAACAAGGAGCGTATTGAGTCCGCCCTCAGCGACGCCATGGCCCAGCTCGAGGTTGAGGACTCCACTCCCGAGGACCTCAAGAAGAAGGAGCTTGCTCTCAAGCGTCTGATCACCAAGGCTATGGCCACACGGTAAATGCATACATGGGAAGACATGAACATAGACTTATGGCCAACGAATTTTCCTCTTTCCCGGGACTCTACTTCTCAGGGAATCTGCACCATGTAGACCTTGGGCAGAGTTGGTCTCTGTCACGCTTTGTTTATGAAGCCGGGCAACTTGGGCGCAGTTTTCTTTTCTTGAAAAGTATGATTTGTTTTGTTTTTTGTAGACGAAGTTCGCCATCTGCAATTTAATGACATTGTGATGATCTCCTCTCATTGTAATAATTGGGAATACTTGGTAGTTCGACATGGTAATATGTGTGTTCTTTTGGCCACGAGGCGGAAGGGCGGGTAACGTGAGAGAGACTTCTTGAACTGTGCGCCTCCACTTATAACTTTTTACAACAATCGCTTCCACCATGCAACGTATTATAACCCAATCAATTCGCTCCTCTTGCCCTCGTCTTGTTGCACACCCTCAAGGGACTCAAGCGTTTCGGCCTTTATGTCTCCTACCCCGAGCCCAGCGCGCCGTTCCTCTGAACCGGCGTGAGTTTGCCAGTTCGCCTGCCTTATACAAAAAAAAGGACAAGGCCAAGAAAGCTTCTGCTTCTGCATCTGAGCCAGAGGAAAGCTCTAGTGCTCCTTCCGAAGATCCCTTTGATCTTTCACAATTACACAATGGCATTTCCACGGCTGTTGCTCGGCTAAAAGATGATCTGTCCAAGCTTCGTGCAGGAGGGCGGTTCAATACCGCAGTCCTAGAAAGCTTGAGAGTCCAGCTGAGCAAAGACAGCAAAGATTCGATCAAATTAGGAGATCTGGCGCAGGTTGTGCCCAAGGGAGGACGCATGGTTACTCTATTGGCGGCCGAAGAGGATGTAAGTTCATGATGCTCGACCACTCCGATTTTTCTTTCCTTGCTGGGGCGTGAGCCTTCTATTGCTGTCCCAACGAACTAACTCTAATACATTTTGAGCAGCATTTGAAACCTCTTACTTCAGCGATCGTCTCCTCAAACCTTTCCTTGACCCCACAGCCCGATCCTCACAACGCCCTCCAGCTTAACATTCCTATCCCACCACCTACAAAAGAATCCCGGGACAAGAACGTCCAAGCTGCCAAGCAAGCATTCGAAAAGGCTGCCGGTGTAGTACGTGACTCTAGGGGTGCCATGCATAAACGTCTCCAGGATATGCAGAAGAAGAAACTAGCTCGGCCAGATGACGTGCGCAAAGCTCACGATCAGATGGAGAAGGTTACAGACCAGGGCCAAAAGGAGGTGAAGGATGCATTCGAAGGGGCCAAGAAGACATTGGAACAGGCATAAGAAGCCCAATTGGCAAAGGCAAGGAAAAATTATGAAAAACCATAGTCTATGGCAATGGGCGTTTGTAAAATAAGACTTTGTAAATCTAGGTAGAGGCCATAGGCATAATTGGGGAAGATATGGGGAGAATATAGGAAAATGAACCCGATCAACGAAACAAATATAATACAAATCACTTCTAGCACTAATTCACATATCCTTAGACGCTCTTGGTCTTGCGGCCAGCAGAGACAAGAGATTCAATCTTGACCATAAACTGTGAGGTCTTTCCGGTTGTCTGGTAGGTCCCGTTGTTCCTGAGGTTCTTCGACACCTCTCCCAATACGGCATGCCCATCTTTCCCGACTTCAGATGGGGGATAGTTCCCCTGAACAAACATTTCCATGAGAGACTTGGTGTTTTCTGCGTCGAGGGGACTAAACTCGACATTCCGAGGCTCCACAAGGTCACCCTTGCGCTGTGAAATTCGATCGGCACGAAGCTGAGCCAATCGCTTGGTCTCTTCCAAAGCCTCGGCCTTCTCATTCTCGTTGTCGAACAGAACGCTCTGGCCCTTCCATAGGCGCCTTCCAAGCTCATAGGGCGGGATATAACCATTGGCAACGCGGCCGCCTAGGCTGGAAAGCTTTTCATAGACAGCAGCCGAGCGCGAGTTCACGTCTGTGGGAATTGAAGGCCAGGTCTGTTTCAAAGTAGAGTAGTTGATCTCCTGGGGCTCATAGCGAATAGGGGTTGGCCGTGATTTGATGATTTGCTCTTGCAGAACTTGGTCGATATTCGCCGCTGCGGCATCTTCGCCCTCCTCATCCTCGGAAGATCTTGCATTCTTGCGCGGGCCATTTCGGTTACCCTTGGCGCCAAATTTGGCAGCTTTGGCGGCTCTGGCGGAGAGGTTGGGTTTGCGATTTGGGGGTTGGTTGCCGCCTCGAACGTCGCGCGATCTCGGGCTGCGGATAATCTTAGGTTGCTCTCCACCGCTAGCTCGTGCCGCCGCAAAAGATCTAGCGTCAATCACTCGAGGAGGACGAGCTTGATACTGGTTGGTGCGAGCTGGAGGGCCATTGGGATTGCGAGGCCGGTAGGTAAGTTGC